TATATATGATGCAGCCAGCCTGACACAAGGACCAGTGTCTGGGGTCTTCTGGAATAGATAATTTCTTGGGTTTTTCTGGCAGAAAAAAAAAAAAAAAAAAAAACCCTTTCTTTGTGACATTGCAGAAGCAAATTGTTGAGAGAATTATTTCTATTATGAAAGAATACAGTGATCTTACATAAAGGCCAACATTTCTAGTAGGTCAAAATTTTACACATCATTAACTATTTGACACAAAAGCAAGAAAAATATTTGGGAGCTACTTGTGAGAGGGGAAAACATAATTTCATTAACAACCCATTTGTATTCAACTCACAATTTTTTTTAAAAAAAGTCAGCTATGGTAGAAGGAGAGATCTAAAATCCTCCTTTACCATGAATTTCTGTAGTATTAGAATTGGGAAGGACTTAGAGAGCCCAAATTCTTTCCTTTACTGGGATAGTTAAGGTTGTATGTCAACTTGGCTGGGCCTGGTTGAGTGTCTGGGCAGCTGGATGTAGTTATTCCCCATGGTGAGACTGGTGATTGACTCCATGGAGGAATCTACTGGAGCAGCTGAGTAGCTGCCTCAGGGATGTGGGCTGCTTCCAGTAGATAAGAAGCAACTTTGCTCCAGCTGATGGCACTCTCAAACCCTGCATGTAGTCGAGTCATCATTCAACAGCCTGCCATGCCCTGCCAATCTTGGGACTTCTAGACTTGAATTAGTGGCCTAATGTGTTGTTTGGCAACATTGAGACTGTGCCTTTTTACTTGTCAACTTTAGGTTTGTCAGCCTCAGCAGCTAGCTGCTGCCTGAGTGAAGAAAAGCCTCCAGCTTCATTGGGCCAGGAGCAGGAGGCAGAGCTGAAGCCCAAGGTTGAGAGACTTTCACCCAGCCCCCTAGAGCCTGGCACCTTGAACTCAGACTTGTGGCTTCCAAAATTATAAGAGAATAAACTCCTGTTTGTTCAAGCCATTCTATTTGTAGTATATTCCTGTCAGAGCAGCACTCGGTAACCAAAACACTTTACAGAAGAGAAGACTGATCAGTCCCATGTCTCAAAAGAGATAATTGTGAGCATGAAGGAAGCAAAACTACTTTTGTGCCTCAGCCAGGTTATTAAATCTCCAGGCTTTCTAATCAAGAATTGCTCTTCCTGTAGAAGAGCTCTTCTTCACCTCTTGCTTCCTCATATTACTTCCTGCCTCGAATAAAGAGATGCACTCAAATTAAAATAGGAAGTCTGGGTCTAGACAAATCCCAGTGAAAGCTAAATTATGCAAATTTAGTCTATGTATAAAAAATGAAAGTCCTAAGTAGGCTGCCAGGGTATAAATGCTTTCTTAACCTGAGACATTGCAGATATTATGTACTAAGGCAGCATGAGTAAAACCAAAAATGAGTGCATAGGGATAGTTGAAGGAAGGAAGCTGTCTCCAGCTAGGA